AATCGTGGGGCTACTATTAAACTAGCATGCACAAGAGTTAGACCAATTCTTACGAACTCTTCCAAAAAATAGAACAAGAGGGAACATTTCTCACCTTATTTTCTGAGGCCAGTGTTACCTTGGTACCAAAATCAGAAAAAGACATTACAAGAATATGTGATACCCCTAAGCCTGATCCTTAAGCAACGTGAATTGATTATTTATACCTTTATGCTACTTACCTGAAATATAAGTACTTCTAGTCATTCCATTAATAATTGGGGTCCTACAACCTATGAGGAAGCAAAGCCCAGGTGTCCATCAACTAATGGAAACTCCTCCTGAGCTTGTCTGTTGGGGAAGAAATCTAGACTCCTTCCAAACATAGGCCTGAATAAGGTCTATTTTCATGATGGCTCAAGAATAATAATTCCCTTTCCCCAACTTTTTCTTAAGTATGTAAAGAATCTAGAGATTTGATGTCCAAATATCCAAAAGATAAGGACTGAAATGTGATGCTTCTTGCATCCCAGTATCAGGAGAAAAAGTCATACTGGTTGTAGAAGTCACTAGCAACAAGAAGGAAAAGGGGAAAGGAATGGTGGGTGCAGAAGACAGTGCTACAGCATGAGAAGTAAGAAAAGCTTGGGAAGGTAGTATAGTTAAGTTAGACTTTCAGTAAAAGTGGCTTTGAGAGAAGTAGAGTGAGGTAATGTAAAAATCAGAGGCTCCAGTGAAACATGGGGTCAACTGGATACTTTTAAATATGGGAGATATTTCAATACATTTATATTCTTGGTATAAATGAGTAAGGGAAAGAAAAAATTGATGATAAAAACAAATAGCATAGTTGAAGGAGAAGGCCCAGGATGGGATGGGAGTTAAAGTACAATTACAGGTGCTAGTCTTGGATTAAAGGCAGGTATCTCTACCATTATAACCAAGGAAAGGGCAGGGGAATACATTTATAAGTGGGGAATCAAGAAAATTAAAGAGTTCTTGCCTATGGCTTTAATTTCCCTTATTGGTCCATGTGATATAAATATGTACAGAAAGAATATAGCATACCTGAAGTTCATTGAGTTTGGAGTTAAATACAAAGGGAAAGGGAAATGTTAGACTTTATACAGAGAGTGTGTGGGTGGTGTGTGTGTGTGCACGTGCACACGAACACTGGTGCCTCTCTGTGCATACACTTGTATGTCTGAGGTTGAAAAGCCCTAGACTGAGCTTTGTTTGTCAGATTTGGCATTGTTCCTTGTGCCCTTCCTGGAAATTTTTCTGCACCCCCACTTCCAAATCATAGTCATCACCAGGTCCCAGGTGACTCTGACTGTTGTCGTCTGGGACCAGTGAGCAGTCCCAGGTTCCCTGGGGTCCTTACTCTTGCTCCTCTCCCAGGGCTATCTTGGCAAGAGATGGCCGAAGAGAATAGTACTGGAGGAATATAAGACTCCTACAGACGGGTCAGGAGCCCTTCCAGGACTCAGGTAGGTTACCATGGGGAGACTGACAAGAACTGATTACTTTTAGCCATGTCCAGGAAGTCCCAATGCAGAGGAAGCTGGCCATTTTGGCTCTAGCCACAACTGACCACACAGGGTCTGATCCTAGAACCTGTCAGGAAATAAAATGGACTTTTTGCAGGGTTTAGCTAGAGCCCTCTCTGATTCTACTTGCCCAGCTGTGGGGGCAGTAGGCAGTCCTCTTCAGAACCCCAAACAGGAGCCAGATTTAGAACAGTCCAGCTCAGAAATATGGGTGAGAAAGGAAACTTTCATGAGTTTGTACAACTTGGAAGAATCCTATTTTAACCAAAATTCCTTATGGCAACTAAAAAGAAGTAAAAATAGTCATGAGGGAAATAACGTGGCCAAAGTAGACAAGTAGACCAAACTTTTTTTCTGGGAGTAGAATCTCATGAGATGTTAATCTGTGTGCACTTCTGTCCATCTGGGATCTCTCTGTCTCCTCCCTACACGTCCCTGGTCCCTGAAGAGAAACAGGTCGTCTTTTGGCATGGGGAAGCTGGCAGGAGGCATCCTGATGGAGGGCTGGAGGATCATTTCCTCAAATATGCACCATGGCAGGAGTACAGGAAACAGAAGGAGACCTTATTCTCTCTTGCATAACTTTCACTGAGTTCTAAGATCTTATGGCTTTAGGGATAACAACAGATCATGGAGTTCTGTTCCATGCCTCCAAATAAGAATAAGTCTGTGGAGAGGACAGAATGGCAATGCAGTCTCTTAGAAAGTTTCAGAGGTGGAGATTTCCCCTCAATTAACACCTTTGCTCTGATTTAGAACTGGGAATGAGAATGGAAGTTTTCTTTATCTGAAAAGCCAATGCCAGGGTCCACAAATATTCCCAAAGGATATTGGGAAATCTCCATGTGCTTAGGGATAGAAGGGCATAGCTGGGCACCTTCTTAACTCTTTTCCTTTCTGTCTTTTACGTAGTCAGTTTCTTTCTATCAAAGCTCCTCTTCCACCTAGAACAGTTTGTTCATTGTTCCTTACCCTAGAATTCTTCCCTGTGATCCTGGTCAGCTCACTCTGTTCCCTCCCACTAAGCTGTCTGAACTTCCCAAGGAAGAGTGATCTTGGTAGCCAGAAAGATGAGTCAGATCTAGGGGATGTCATCGTTGGTGGGGCTCCCTTATCTCCTTTGGTAAATCGATCTTAAAACTAAGCAGAATGTTTTCAGAACAACTACATTGTTTGGGTGCCTCATTAAAAGAGAAAGGGAAGGAAGTCTGTTGTTTACTGGGTGCAGTTAAAGCTGGGGATTTGATGGGGGTGTTTGAAAGGAAAAGGAAGCTGGAATTTTAAGGAAAAATATGGCGAAAAGAGTCTTGAAGACCGGTTCTAATCATACCAAATAGAAATTTCATATTTAGTTTTTGCAGCTACTATTGGTATGTTTCCATGTTGCCACATAGGCCTTGTTATTTTCACTTTATTGTCTACATATTCTATCCAGTTGGTGTTTAGACATTCCAGGAGATATTAAACTGTTTCTGGTTTTTATAGAACATATAAAAATGCAGTGTGCATTGTTCTACATGTCACATTTTAGTCTTTCGAGTTTTAGTTTTAGCATAAATACTAGACCTTGTAGGACTCCTGACTCAAAGTGTGCAATTTACAATACCATCAACAATGTGTAGATGTCACACTCACCAGTCTTCCTAGGATTATTAGTGTAAATTTTTTTTGAAAAAACCCCACAAAAATGGATCCATATTTTTGCTTTATTTTACTTTAAAAGAATAGTTAAGTTGAACATTTTCCCAAATGCTTCCTTTCTCTTGAATTTCCTCTAGCTTTCCTATTTATGTCACTGGTAAAAGAATTTATAAAAGAGCAAGAGTAAAATGAACTGAGGAGAGAGAATGGCTGTGGGTGTTGAGACTAGTTCTGAGAAGACTCCTGGGAAGGTAGTTGTAATATTCCAGTTCAGGTTGCAGTGAAAAATGTGAACACAGGTAAAAGTCCTGGTCTAGACATTTTTGAGGCAGTAAAATGCAATGACAACAGGAGCAAAGTGATAGAAGGAAATGAAATACTTAATAAGGACTTGATTATCAGGTCATAAGCTAAAACCAAGGTAGTGTAAGATTAAAGTGATTTGATCAATGTCTCCAAATAAGTTAATGTCAGAGTTAGTTCCAGGTATTTGTCTTCAGTCATTAAAAATCACTTTTAAGTAAGTTCATCTCAACCATATGAGATAGATATAATTGTTCCATTTTATAGATGTGAAAATTGACCTTCAGAAAAGTTAAGTCTCTTTGCTCGAGTTCACATAGCTTTCAGTTTTTGGGTCTAGCTTTTTTAATTTTAGACACAGTGCTATGTGTAAGCTATAACTACACATTCCTCTAAATATACTTAAAATGACTCAAAATATATGTTGTCCATCTGCTGGAAGTGCTGTGGTGGAAGGAACACTGGACTGAGAACAGAGAATTCAGTTCAATTCTGTGTGATGTGGAGCAAGTCACTTCATCTCTTTGAGCCTCTGTCCTCCCACTCTGAGATGCCTGACAGCCCAACCTTACTGGCCTGAAGAACAGAGGAAATGTTCCTGAGGCACCCCAAACCAGTCCCACAAATACGTTTCCAGCTTTGCTAGTATGCATTTAGAGAGATGGGGTACCCTTGAAGGGATCCTGAAATGTTTGGAAAGCCTCTTGCAACCTCTGCTAGCATCATTCAAGTCCCTTTTCCATATCTTCCAAATCTCAGGATGTCTATGATAAGATGGTGAATGCTATAGTTTCTGGCTTTAAGATCCAAATCTAAATATAAAAACACTTGGAAAAATGTCTTTTCTGAAATAATTTCATTTGAAGCATCCTGTTTGTTCTCATAAGTATACTCTTTTTAAAAAAAAATTTTTTTTGGGGGGGATAATTAGGTTTGTTTGTTTATTTTTAATGGAGGTACTGAGGATTGAACCCAGGACCTGGTGGATGCAAAGCGTGCACTCTACCACTGAGCTATACCCTCCCCGCCATAAGTATACTCTTAATGGTTAAATCATGTAATCTGATTTAGGTTCCAAAGATGTTTGCCATGTTCACTGACAGAATCAGTGAGACCTGTTGGGGAGGGCCAAGGAAGGCAGAAACCCTTAAAGTCACTATATTAATTTCCCAGGGCTGATGTAACAAAGTACCAGAAACTGGGTGGCTTAAAATAATAGATTTTATTGTCTCACAGTTCTAGGAGCTGCAAGTCTGACATCAAGCTGTCAGCAGGGCCACACTCACCCTGAAACCTGTAGGGAAGAATCCTTGATTGCCTCTAGGTCTGGTGATGGCTGTCAATCTTTGGCTTCCTTGACTTGCAGATGCACCACTCCAATCTCTGCTGTTGTCACATGGCTGTCCTCCCGCTGTGTGTCTACTTCACTAGGGTCTCTCCTGTCTCTGATAAGAACATCAGTCATATTGGATTAAAAGCCCACCCTATTCCAGTATGATCTCATCTTAACTACATCTGCAATGACTGTTTCCAAATCAGGTCACATTCTGAGGTACTGGGGGTTGGGACTTCAACATATTTTGGGGGGTGAGGGTGGGGCAGAGTTCAACTCATAAAAATCACAATTATAATTACTCAACTTCTTTTCCTTTTCTATTTTTAAGCTGAAAGAAGTATTGCCTGAGAAGTTTCAGGGTGTGGGGGTGATATTCTGATCACTAGAAATTACTCAGATTCTGTAATACTTGATTTCTTTCCAGGTATGACATTTCTAAACAACCATGAACAACTTCAGTTTCTTCACTGAGTTCATCTTCCTTGGGCTGTCTGCTGATCCTCACATCCAGGCTCTGCTCTTTCTGCTGTTCCTGGGGATTTACCTCCTAACCCTGGTGGGGAATCTGGTGATGATCCTAGTGATCAGATGGGATTCTCACGTCCACATCCCCATGTATTTCTTCCTCGGACACCTGTCCTTCCTAGATATCTGCTTCTCCTCAGTTACCATGCACCAAATGCTACAGAACTTCCTGTCTCAGAAGAAAAGCATCTCAGTGTGGGGCTGCATTACCCAGAGTTTCTTTTTTCTTCTCTTTGGGTGTGCTGAAGCCAGTCTTCTCTCTGCCATGGCCTATGACTGCTGTGCAGCTGTCTGTCACCCTCTCCTCTATACCGTTGTCATGAACAGGCCTCTCTGTACTACAGTGGTTAGTGCAGCATGGGTGATAGGGTTTCTGAATTCACTAGTAAATAATCTTTTCATCCACAAGTTATATTTCTGTGGGTCCAACATCATCTCCCATTTTTGCTGTGAGTTACCTTCACTATTCCCTCTGTCCTGTACTGATCCCACTGCCAATGAGTTCCTTCTGTCAGGGTCCAGTGCATTTCTGGGACTGCTGGCACTTTCCCTGATCCTGTTCTCTTACTCCAGAATCATATCTGCCATTCTGAACATCCGCTCCTCTGAGGGCCAAGGCAAAGCCTTCTCCACCTGCTCTCCCACCTCACTGTGGTGCTCTTGTTCTACGGGACAGCTCTATTCAGGTACATCAGTCCCGCCTCAGGCTCAGTGTTGGAGCGAGTGGTCTCCATTCAGTACAGTGTGATCACATCCTTGCTGAACCCCCTTATCTATAGCCTCAAGAACCAGGAGGTGAAGGCAGCTCTGCAGAGGATGCTGAGGCAACAAACGTGTGCCACAGGGTAAGAAAAAGCTATGTGACTCTGCTCAGGAAATAGAAAATTTATCTCTATAGGAGAAAGATTTTTATAGGCACAGAGCACTTGGGGAAGACAGATTACAAATAAATTCAAGTATTTGTTTGGACTTCAAAGTAAATAAATTTCCCCAAAAAGAGGGGCTGGGGGAAAGAGTTTGATGTACAGGCCCCTATCTAGCAGCCCTTTGCAAAATAATCTGAGGAGATAGCAGGGTTGACACAGATAAGCAGGACAGGGTCTCTTGCCAAAATGCTGACCCTTTTTTGGGCATTTTCACAAAGGTACATGATAAAGAAAGGAGCCTACAACAAAAAAGAAATCAGATATATATAACACTCCAGAATGGAGACAGAGCCATCCAGTTACCAGATCTAGTGGTATTCACTAGCATTAAAATGTACCTGCGTGTAGGCTGGTGTGATGATTAATTTTATGTGTCAACTTGGTTAGATTAAGAGATGACCAGATAACTCTCAAAATATTATTTGTAGGTGTGTTTATGATGGTATTTCCAGAAGAGATTAGCATTTGAATCAGTAGACTGAGTAAAGATGATTGCCCTCACCAATGTGGGTAGGTATTGTCCAACTGTTGGGTTCCATTTTATATATATATATATTTAATCTCCATTATCTATTCAACTTTTGATGTGTACTTAGGATGCTTCCACATCTTGGCAATTATAAATAATATTGCTGTTAATAGCAGGGTGTAGGTATCTTTTTGAGTTAATTCTTACTTTGTGGTTGACTTTATTCCTTTGATAACTATGTAAGTTTAAAAAGCTAAAGCTTTAAACATTCTTAGAAACCATATGTAAATTAAAAAATATATGTGCAATAAAAA